AGAATGATGACAAACGAGACGTTTTTAATTTTGAAATTATAAATTTCCCTAACCTTAGCAGCAATATACCAGCTTCATCTGCATATGGGATATACATTTTCCAACTCATTCGGTATTCAAGAGCTTGCAGCTGCTACTCAGACTTTATTAAACGTCACCAGTGGCTGAGCAGAAAGTTGATGAACTAGGGTTATGTTAAAGAACGCCTCGTCCTTTTTCCAAAAGAGTTCATTGGAAGATACCAAAACCTTGTTAATAAATAATCGTATCAACTTCACAAGTATTTACTCTAGGTACTGATGTTATTTATCATCTTAATTACATGTTATAGTACAGTCACTGTGTTCTTTTTATTTGTCCTTGTACATTTTTAACCTTTACTGCTTAGTCCATTTTTGCTAATATACTTTTGGCGTGGCTCGGTATTTATACATCTCGCTATTTTGTTATTGTGCTATGGTTAATGTTGTATTCCTGACTTTTATTTTTGCTTATGTATTTTGTCTATAGAGTGTCTATTTGCAATTTTGTTTTTCTTTGTTGAAATAGTTATTTGTTTTTAAAGTGATAAAGATTATAACACAAAATTGACTGCTGTACCCCAATTTTGGATATTTTTTTACTTTTTGCTCACACATTGTTGTCAATATTATGGAATTCTATGTGACTGTCATACAAGTGAGAGGTTTAGCTTATTATAAAACCATGTTTAATTCACCGTTTTCTACATTAGGAAATGCCTGTACTAAGTCAGGTATATGACAGTTGATTTCCATTTGTTTGATGTGTTTGAGCCTTTGATTTTGCCATTTTATAAAGGTCTTTCCGTTTTGAATTTTCCTTGGAGTTTGGTAGTTTTGTTATTTTACTCTTTATACCATACACATAAAAACAACTAGATGAAATGATACATGAATGTACACGAATTATCAGAATAATTTTGAGTCAACATTTTATCATACACATTTTCATTTTGTTTTGTTGCACATCCAGTGCTCCGGGCTTTTAGATAAAATAATCTGGTACAGGATTAAGTCTTTAATGCATGAAAAAGCCATAGATGTTCAAATGACCTGCAGATGATATAAAACACCGTGATACTCATTTACCACAAACTTGGCATGTGTAATGTTCCCTTAACTGAATAGTAACGAACAAAATGGAAGTAAATCAGCTACTTAATGTTTAATAAATTCGTTTGTGAGCATTGAAAGAACATGGAACTTAAACACTTTTTTTTATGAACAAAGAATTTAATGTAAGATTTCTTAATGTTGAAATCCTGCGAAATCATACAAAACTACATTATCGTGAAAAAAGTCTGAGAACAAGATTTGTTAAATAACCACGAAACATCTGTTGAATCCACGCTAAGAATATTCTATATCTTGTAGAACAGGGGATTCATAGGGAACCACGGTGTCCAAAATGACGTTTCAAAGCTGTTTGTTTCTCCACCAGAACCATTTACAGGCATAGAACCCTCCCAATTTTAACTGTACATTAATCTATCAACTAAGATTGCTAATGTGTATTCTCAGATCTAAAACAAATGCTTACATATACTTGGTTTTCAGTAGACATGTTATCTTTATATTTACTCCTTACTGCAATCTTTTGTTGTCATTATCATTATTGTTAGCTATATCAAATCTTTCAATAATCTAAATCTTTAAATTTCTTTTATCAAGATATTTGATGCTTTAATATTCAGCATATTCAATGAAAACGGTCAACCTTCAAGCATTCCTACACAAGGAAATATCATGCTGATACATGTATATATTCTATTATTTTGCTTTACACAATATGAAAAATAAAAAGACTCATACAATAAAAAATCATGAAAGCTCTTTAGTTCATTATACAACGTAAGACAAAACGAAAGAGAAATGGCAGTATTTCTAGAGGAAAAAAAGCACACCAGACCACTGTTTAAATTTATACCTTTAATTTTACAAGTGTTGTCGAGTACAAACAACATCCAAAAAGTTTCTTTTTTGCAAAAGTTTGCAGGTTGATAATAAGCTTTATGATGTTAATTGCCAATGAGACCACTATTTATTAAAGTTTATGTTACTGTTGATTATGCGTAATTTAAATAACAGAATTTTGCTGGAATAAATCTGCAAAAGTAAGAATAAACTTAACCGTGTCGCATAGAAAGAAATTGAAAAGAGCGCTTTGTCCAATATATATATAGTCAGTAATTAATTTGTATTTCACTAAATCTATGAGATGCACGGATGTATCGTGATTGACATCTAGCAAAGCATTACACTGAAACCAGTGCGAGGGTTCGTCTTAAACGTGCACGTAAGGTCAGAGCATTTATTTCATATTAAAAACAGAATAGCAAAAATATTGAACTTCAAGGCAACTTCAAAAAGAGGAAGTTCATTATTAACTGACAAAAGCAACCGCTATCAATCAACGGAACAAGTAGAAAATAGCCGAGTTAGAAGACATCACTGAGACTTCGAACGACCAAAACAGCAGGAAAGCGCTTTGCTATTGGTTATATGTTTGTACGTGTAATAATTTTATGACATGAATTGTTACTTACTGTCTTATCTTTTCTCTAAACGTTCCAACAACTGCTTTGAATAAAACATTTTTTAAGAAATATGTACTTACATTTATGAAATTTCTAATGGGTTTTGCTGTCTAACAACAACAACGATAATTTGATTTGTCAGATTAAAATCTTCCTTCTTTTGAAGCAATATATTGCTGAGCAATCTTGATGGAGGTAAATCGTAAAAGGAGCTTCGGACGCACCATATTAATGCAGTTTTATTTTCTTTTTTAGGCACTTAGTATAAGCCATTGCTGGTGTACTACTAGTCCACGAAGTAATAGTCAGCCCAGAGATCAGTAAATTCGCACTGACATGATTTATAACTTTTCTTAGATTTAGAATTTCTAGACTCCCACAGGCAAAATGGACCTTATATGAATTTGGCTTTTCTCTGTATGTCCCTTTTCTGTTGTCTAGCTTTTCTGTTTTCAAATACTTATGCATCCCTGGCTTTCACTTTTTGGGGTTTAAGGTAGATAGGGTGTCTTCCTCCATCTTGGATTTTGAAATACCAGAAAACAATCGGTCTAGATCTTTAATAAAAGGTGCAAATTTTGAGAGTAGTAGGTAATTCATGTGTAAGAATTTTCATTTATATATAGACAATGACATATTTTATCATATTTATGGTTGTATTTTACAAAAAAACAGAATACTTTTGTTTGATTCTATTTTTTCCAACTTTTCCACATAAGGGGAGGCAACTCAAATGTAAGGGCAGATAATTCAGATAAAGTTACTTTTACACTAGATGTGTAAGGAATTTACCTTTTTTATTATGTAGCAAGAAAACGGGTCCCGTGACCCCATTTTTTCGTTTTCTTATCTGAAAGCATACTATTAGAGCTATCGTCTCATATTTTATCTCAAAATTCTATGGTGTAGTTTTCGTTTTATGGCAGAAAATTGGGTTTTCCATGCATAATCTATACAAAATCTGTCAATTTTGCACAACCTGTAGCGTGAAAATACGCCCCGTGACCCATTCTTTTTATTATACTTTTTTTAAAAGCATGATATAAACTACATTTTGGCAAATTATTAAAAAATTCTATGGATTATAATTTAGACACCCCATCTACCTTAAGCGTTCCTAAATAAGGAAAATCCAGAAAAGAGCTTTTGACGCGCAAAGAAATAGGTGAGATAAGAGTTTTTGTCCTTTTAATGACTTTCCCTTTCTTAATTGACATTGGAGTTCGTATATTTGTTACACTTTTTTAAAGGCAATTGGAGAGCTCCTTTTATGCAGATTGGATGGAGACATGAAGGTTCTTACCAGATTTTCATTATCTTTTTTCCAGAATGTGCCTGAGATTTTCAAATGGACACTTAATTCACAGAAATGTATATAACGAGTAGTAGTCTGTGTTGACATGAATTATCAAAATAGTTAAGAACTAAATCATGAAGGCCAGAATACTTATTGATTTTACTACGGGTTCGCCCTATTTGCTTAATAGTATACCTCAAGCGACAGCGATGATACCTTTCAAGATGTATCCCAATTTTCTTTTTTATTTCTGAAATATGAAAAAAAGAAGATGTGGTAGGATTGCCACCAGAGAACACATGACATAAAACATCAATTATAGGTAACCGTACGGCCTTCAACAATGAGCAAAATCCATTCCGCATAGAAAGCAATATAGGCACCATAACGAAAACAATTCAAACGAGAATAATAACAGCGTGATTTAAGTACAAAACAATAAAAGAAAAACAAATATAATATACAGCAACAAACAACAACCACTAATTTACCTGACAAAAACCTATAACAAAAAAAAATAAAAAAACACAAAAGACACAAAAAAAAATTTACGAAACGTCATAGTAAAAGTGGCACAGTTTTAGCCGTAATTGGATTTCCTATGGGAAATTGCATTGTCTATATTTACAGAAGTACAACCTATAAATACACGTTTGCGGGAAATGCTATGATAATTTATGGTATCTTATATTTCGAGAAAAAAAAGAATTAAAAAAAAGTTAAAAGGTAAGCTTAATACCGTCAGAGGCATTCTTATGTTCTTAAGTTAAAAGAAATTCTACTCAAGCTCAAGTCCAAGTGGATAGAAATTTTACACGATTGATTATTACATCTACTAAAAAAGATACTCGTTTAATATAAGTGTCAGACGTTGTTAGAGTGAAGACATAAATAAAAGTTTTTAGTGAAAATTATGTTTGAAATTACAATTCATTTAGTTCTCTGTGACAACTAAGCCATTGCGAATTATCCTTTACAGGAATACTGCAAGGGAGTTATAGCTTAAGTTGACATTTCAGGAGTCAAATTATGGCTCTTGTTATTCAACTCTTGTTGCATGGTTGAATGTTTTCGTTTGGTAAGTGTCGTATTTTAACTCTATGCAGACACTAGGAAATCGGAAACTAAATAAGAACGAAATGCACATAGTTTATATAAATTTAATCTTTAATCCCAGAAATATCTTTGAAAGATATCTGTCAGTTGGTTTTCATGGCGGAGTAGGCAGTGCTTGAAACTATGGACATGTCAGTCGCATACATGCACACCATTGCGGCAATTTGATATATCTTTGTACCAAACCAAACTTTGAGCACCAAATTGTATAATAGATTGACCTCCATTCAGTCTGTCTGCATGCCGAGATTCCTTGATTGGAGGCCTGTACTCCTCGACAACCACTAGATCTATAAAATATATGTTTCATGTTAAATGTTCGCTTTTGCAAAAAAGAAAAAAAAAACGACTCATATGCCTGATACTTGATCAAATGTAAAATAAAAGTTGTTTCGAAATCAATTACAAATAAAAACAAAAATATAAATCAACCATGAAATTTATATATGAACATACTGCTTTGGTGAATTTTAACTATAAATCATAACTTATTCATTATTTGTGTTTTTCTGTCAGTGGAAACATATACATTTATTAGTTATTATTGAATACATAGAATCCTGAACATTAACCAAGAATTTGAAATCTTTTCTCAAAATCAATTACTCGTAATTAACTTTATGCCATGCGTTCAGACAGGACATATAAAGTTGTTTCGTGTGTGGTTTATTTTGTAGAAATGATAACTTATTTTTTTAACAACAAACACATGTACACAACAAACATAAATAGTACTTACAGGCAGGCAGCGTAGGGACATCGTAAAAAATACCATGGAGCAACCATCCAGCATTTTTGTCTATTGTATACGATGGATCTCGGAAAGTAAAAGTACTTTGTGTATTTTGGGCACGTATATTGCCAGAAAGGAATACTTCTAGATGAAACAGGTGTGTCAAAAGATCTTGCAGCATCAGTTCTGAAAAGATTTATATTTGTATATTAAAAAGTAATAACTGAACAGTGACATTGAAAACTAATAGTATCAACTTTGGAATTTACAGCTTGAGAAAGACAAAACAAAGAATTTAATAAAAATTGTATTTTTTTCTCAAGCAGCGCTCACTAGAGTCAACACAAAAGAAAATGAACACACGACAATGACTTGAACTTATATCCATTAGAATAACAGTTGTTTCCCTTTGTAAAACCCATTAAGAACTGGTTAAAAATCGTATGGTCAATTTAAGATTCTGAGTACTTTAATAACATTCAGAGCAGATGCTTTTCATAAATTATGTTTCTTCCTAATTAGATGAATGTTGATATGGACATACGAATGTGCAAAACCTTATACTCCATCCTCAAATTAAATTGAAATGTTGACGCACATTGAAGAACTCGACATTTCAGGAGTCAAATCATGGTTCTTTTTATTCAACTCTTGTTGAAGGGTTGAATGTTTTCAGTATTGTATTTTAACTCCATGCAAACACTCGGAAAATCGTCAATCAAATAAGAACAAAATGCACATAGTAAATGTAAATTTCAGGGACTTTAATCTTAGAAATATCTTTGAAATATATCTGTCAGTTGGTTTATAGGGCGGAGTAGGCAGTGCTTGGAACTAAGGGCATCTCAGCCGCACGGGGAAGACAAAACAAAGAATTCAATGATTTTTTTTCTCAAGCAGTGCTCACTAGAATCAACACAAAAAACACACGAACATACTGAACAAACGACAATGACAAGAACTTATATCCATTAGAATACCAGTTTTCCTTTGTAAAACCCATTAAAAAACTTGTTGAAAACGTATGGTCAGTTTTAGATTCTGAGTACTTTAACATTCATAGCAGACGCTTTTCATAAAGTAGGTTTCTTCCTAATTGGATGAAGGTTGATATGGACATACGAATGTGCAAAACCTTATACTCAATCCTCAAATTAAATTGAAATTTTCACGCACTGGTTTCAATTTGTATTGATTTTCCTTATGTAAGTTATTCGTATTGACCTCTGCTTATAAGTTTTTTCCCTGTCATATTTGAATTATTGATCAAATTAGTTTTTAAAGTGATAATTGCAAAAATTGAAAAACTCTGTATGGTTAACACCAATTAATTTAATCTACAAAACGGCACGCGTTTCTTTGTAATGCATAATTGCTCTAACTGGTATTGCCTTTTATTCCAAAACATATTTGCTACAGAATTTATAACACTTACCTGTGTCTGTATGTCTGACAAGAACCGTGTCCATGAACTCTTCCAATACGGAGGAGGTGTTTGCTCGTTCTGCTGGACTTAACCATGGCTTTTCTTATAGCTGCCCTGGAAATACATGCATGTGATGTAAAGTTGTTTAGGAATTATAGTTTAGTTAAAATGTATGAATAAAGATAGTTATTTTTTCTTTTCTTTTCCTACAGTTTAACACAAATTTCAGTATCTGTTTTTGCAGTAAGAAAATGATTTCAAGCCATTTATTCAGATTGCTAAATTGTTTAAACTGTTTACTATCTATTTGTGGTTGATTGGATAACGCCTTATGGAGTTTATAAGGTATTCGAGAACCTGCCCTTCTTACCAGAATATTAGGTACTTGCAGGTACAGTTAAAGTAATCTATTCTAACATGTCTAACACTTCATCATTTATTAATTGATTGTTAAGAAATATATGTGTTACAGATGACCACGGATATATTCCATTTGTTTGAGTGACAATTTCGTCCTGCTTTCTACGTGATAATATAAGCAAATGCAAATTATAGTTGTACATGCCATTATCAACACGCCGAGTGTCACTTGAGGCGCAGGAACTATTCACCCTTCCGGAAGCACCTGAATCTAATCATGTTTTCTTGGGAAGGTTGATGCTGTTCAATCGTTAGTTTCTGCGAAGTGTTTTTGTTAATTGTTGGTTGTCTTTTTTTTTTTACTTTACGTAGAGTTTACCTTTTTCTTCGACAGAGATTATGATTCATCCAATTCATGAAAGTGAATGAGGTCTCAACATTACTATGAAAGTCCGCAAACAAATAATTAAACGAACAATTAGGAAACTCAAACGTGTGATCCCTATGTGTTGAAAACAAGTTAGAAAGAATACAAATGTTGCGACAACATCCCTGATTACTGCAACCCCATTCCAATATAAAAATATGCTTTTATTTAACTGTTACTTGACAAAAAGCTGAAATTCGGCAACATTATAAATTGTAATCCTCATCTACCCCAAGACTAACCCCACTCTAAACCCTGCTAGTGATAACAGGAAATTGGAATACATTGCACGTGTTAACATGAAATAGATATGCTTGATGATAACAAGTCTGAGAATAATCGTTCTAAATTTTGATGTCGTAAGAACTAAAAGATATGGAAAAATAGATGTGACTAGTTTTACAGTTGGCAACACTATGTCACCTTGATTTGATTATTAATCCTTAATTAATTGCAAGATTTGTCAGGGTTAGTGCTTCAGACTTTCACTAGATAAATGTTATCTATAAATTCATAACATTAGTTTTGGTGAAGTGTTTAGTTTTTACAATTCTAAATGTACTTACCTTGGATATTTGCCAGCATTTCTTGCTTCAACCAATTTTTGTACGTGAATTTGTTTTGGTCGGGTGCAAACTCGGTTAGGAGTAGGCGTTCGAGTAGTAGTAGGAACAAGAGTAGGAGCAGGAGGGGGATTAGTAGTTGAATCTGTATAAACAACAGAGGTAGGAGCAGGAGGAGGAGTAGTAGGAGAAGGGCCACCAGGAGTAACTGATTGCACGTAGATAACAAAAATCACTAAACGTAATGTGATGTGCTGCCCCTAAAATAGAAACAAAATGGAGCTGTAATTAAATTTTATTTGTTTTTCAAGATATCTCGATATAATCTATTTTTCCTTCTCCTTTTGGTGGGAGGTAACATGTGACACAGTAGCTCTTAATCTACACAAAGACTACCAAGATAAGTCAGTTTTTTTAAATAAATTAAGTATAAAATTCACTAAATAACAGACTGTTACTTCTCTGATAATGTAAACGTGGCATGAGTTACGCATTTTGAAATTGGTTTTCGATGGTGATAAGTAACATTATGTTGTCTCCATTGACGGGATGAGTCTAAATAAGAACGAAACGATTTCCATATGTTAACTCAACTTCGCTTTGGAATGAAATTGTATACCTTTGGAAATCACATATTATCATAATGATGAAGAGCAAGCCAAATTAATGTCTACTATTGCTACAATTTCTTGCCAAAATAGTTGGATATCTTAATATAACATTAGATGTAGTACATGCATGATTGTTAATGAGAGAATATTAACAAGAGTCCAAATGAAAGAGAGGCAAACGATACTAAAGGGATAATTAAACTGATCAGTTGAAATCATACTGCCAACACCATGGCAAAAATCGAAAACCGGGGATAATCTCATGTTTAAGGGTAAGCGGACAAAATGTGAAATTGATTTCAGACCATTTTTAGCATCGCACAGCCTACAACAATTGCAAAACCGATAACGTATAGTCAGCTATTAAATACCCGACGTGACAAAATGTGGAACAAATACAATCACTGATTAAAAAGCTCCTTACTTGGGACCCTCTTCCTAACCTGGGACAGTGATTTTATATGACAAAATATTATTTAAGAAATAATTCTTTCATGCCATGCTTTATGCTCATTTTAACATTGGTAGGCATTTAATTTGTCAATATCTTTATACCGGGCGTTAGCAAGGTGTAAAATATTGACAAATATAATGCCTACCAATGTTAACTTTTGTACTTCGAAGAGGACCTTTAATACACATCCAAAAGGCAGCCATTTTGATTTGATGAACCAAAAACGTTATAAAAAAATCAACAGTTGAACGATCAAAAAATTAATATATAAACATAAACTTACTTTTAGAATGATTTTATTTAATTTGCTAGCGAGCAACACCGACAAAACTATCCATTCCGACCTCCGGCGTTGTTCAAAATACATCTGACGTTGCAATTTCAATTGTGACGTCAATCACGTGCAGCCCATGTTTTATTGTAATTAGAACATGGACTTTCTGTTTGTTTCCAAATCGAAAGAAGGACTTCATATTAGAATAAACTATAAAAATCATCTGGAAATGGCTTGACTCGTTAGATTGGCATGAAGCACCAACATAAATAACGTAATGACAAAAGACACAAAGTACCGATCTAACAGTACTAGCAGGTACTTAAAGCAAGTTCAAAGCAAGTTCAAAGCAAATAACAACTAATACATAAACCATGTTCTCTCAGACTAAAGTATCAATCTGTATACATTCAACAGATCTAACTGTATTGTAAAAACGTCATAAACAGTTTGAGAAAAGCGTGACCTTGTGCAAGCCACAAAATCAGTACATAATATCGACATGATATACTACCATACGTTTTTATTTGTGTATATGAATACATATTTAGTTACTTTTTGGTCAGTTTGTTTCGACTTATGAGTTTGAATATCCCTTTTGGTATGTTCGCCTCTCTTTTACATCTGCCTACAATGAACTGCAGATCAAATGTTTGGGTTTACAGTTGACTCGTGGTTACTGTTCGGGAGTTGTGCACCTTGAATTGTCTCAAATATGGCAAAAGAAGTTTCCAATGTGACCTAAAACTATCTTTGGAGAAGTACATTTAAACTTCGCAACATTTATACATAACATGTAAGTAATTTTAAAATTTTACTATTGGCTTAAATACTGCTTAACACTGAACAATGCTTAATTATTTAGAACATACTCATCCCTTCTCGTCCAATGGAAAACAGATTTTCCCCTTATATTTTTTGCTTTCCATGCAATATAAAATGCTATACACGAACTACTTTCCATTGTAGATTCAGTATGATAGTGAACTCTAAATAACAGATTAAAGAAGAGTATAATCCCTTGAGGCAAATATAGGCAAAGTGTACTTAGAAAAGAGCAAAGGAAAAAAGGAGTACTGTTGTTAGTCTAATCATTATAAATGACAAGAGAATAGAATTATAAAAAACATTTAATGTTTAGTTTTGAATATTGCATATGTTATATAATGGTACATAAATGAAAGGAAAACAATAAATTGAAAAGGGAAAAAGGTGTAGGTAAATTAATATTTAATCTTAATATTACATCAGACCCTAGAATCAATGTCATTTTATTTTTAAGACACAGTAAGTGTTGATATATAAAGCAAAGGACATTTATGAGAAAAAAATTCAATACATTTATTGATAGAAAAGGTAAGCATCTGATGTTTTAACGATCATAATTTTAGTATTCATTGATTTAGTTTTATCATTATTAAATTTTTTAAAAAGCTGATTTATCATTTTGTTTTTTTGAAATGAAGGAATTTGAAATATATAGGTACAATTTCACCTGAAGCAGACCAAAAAATCTCCATTTTTAACAATTTATCCTTTTTGTCCTCACAAATCTCAGTGATATTTCATTCCTTCTGTTGAAATGGTAATTGTATATTGATAAAAACCCTATCATTTACCATCGTTACACTTCAAAGTGAACTCATATTAAGATTTGATTAATAACAATGACAAAGGACAAACTTGTAATGTCACTCGAATGTGTAAATATGTTCTAAATTTGTCAGACAATACTTGTTAGAATACACCTGTGACGTAAATCTTTTGTTCAAACTCTCCATTATTTTTCAGGAATGGAGAGTTATTTATTATTGTTTATCTTAATTCATCTAGAAATTTTGCCCTTTGGGTATTTCCATGGGCACTTTTTTAAAAAGTGTTCACCCATGGAAATAGTTCTATAGGACGTAACGCGATATTAAATGAAGATAAAAACTTACATAAACGGCTGATATTAAATGGATTTTTTTAATTGGGATGACATCGTAGTAATACAATGAATACAAAATATCTCATTATAAATAAATTGCTTTTAGTTACGAGTCGTAATCTTGTCGTATAATATATAGTATCGTTTTCCATAAAATTCCACAACATTATCTACAATTTCTTTTTCGATGCAAATCTTGGCCAAATTTCTGCCACGGATAGTTTCCAAGTGGGTAAAAACGAATATTTTCCATTGAGTGCCATTCCTCTTCTGTGCATCTACAACATATGACATGTGTTAACTCAGTTAGATTCTTTTGTAATATTTAACACATTAACATTATACAATAAGGAAAATTTGAGAAACATATATTTCACTTAAATATAGATTTGCTTTTAATTTTACCGTTTAAGATATCATTTGCTTGAAACTTAAAGTGTTGTATTTTTTTATACAGCAAAAATCGTTCGTTCCATTTTAATATGTATATTGAAAAAAACGAAATATTGCTCAGATAGTTTCTACATTAATATTGTGGTTAAATAGAATAAATAGTTCAAGAAACTGAAATGGTCAAAATGGCATATTCGGTATATTACTTGATTTTTCGTAGTTATAATTTGAGGGGTATGGATAACATTTGAATAATGCTTGTGTTAAATATTGGGCGGGATTTTTATTCAATTTTCAACAGAAACGCGTAACACAATCGAATTCCTTCACTGTTGTTATATGTCCAGTGGCAAATATGACAGTTACATCGGCAGTGCAAATGACGGCGTTAATCGTTGAATGTTTAAATGAAATCAAAAAGTAGTTTTCCACTTAAGTTAAAGACATACAAAACGCAATCTAGAAATGTTTTTAATCACGCGTTTTTTTTTTCTTTCTAAAAATTGTTTGTCTCCTTTCTGATAATAGGGAAGAATGAAAAAATATTTTCAGTTTGCTTGTATTGATATTTAAGACTCTAAAACATGCATAACATTTGTTTTGTTGTTATGAGCAAAGGGAGCGAACAAAAAATGTTGGATTATGCATGAAACAGGAAACACTTTTTTCTTGTTTAATTTTATTTGATCTAATAGAATGGTTTGAAATATAGAATCATATTTTGTTTCAGATATAACTTCAAAACGAGCACACCCTTATTAGTTAGAAAACATAGACTAGAGTGTTACATACCTGGAAATTTATTCTAGTTGTACCATGTCATTTTTCTCAGATGATTCTACATCCAAGATTTATCAAACGAAAAACACACATAATCCATTAACATAATAATACGCATGAATATTAGTTTTGTCTCTCTCTCCCGAAATACCACTTAAAGACACAAATAAATATCCTGTCAATAGCACCACAAGAAAGACGTGCGCATCCAAATGACTTAAAACATAAATCTGTATGAACTTAATTCAAGATCTTTTTATAGTTATTATTCTACTGTTCATAAATGCTTCGTTTAGTGAGTAGATGGTCAGCTTGATCGTAAATTTTGACTTTGGATTATTGGGTACACCACGGGGAAAATAAAAAAAAAACCATTACAAAATAAAATAAAATTCTTTAAAATGTTATAATCTAAAGATTCTAAAAATTCCTCAAGGTCAAATTGGTATGTTGACCTTGACCTTTGACCTAACACCTTGTAATGGGATAATCCCAGAAACCTTAATACTTACAGAAGTGTTGAATAGTGGAAAGGGTTTGGGTCATTAATGCGCAACTTTGTTACATTTTGACCGAAGAGATTTGACCTTCCTGTAAGGGGCATAACCCTGTTTTAAGTTTCTGACAAGTCAAAGTCAGCTTTTACTATATAACCAAAAGTCCTAGACCCATGTGGTCTTCAGCAATGACATTGGGGACTAATGCCCTTGACAAAGGTCAAAGTTATGTCCAGGATAGCGAATTATGTGTTTAGACCTTATTTAAAGGATTTTTAGTGTGTTTTAAAGGTTTTTAATGTTGACCTTTACCTTTGACCT